AATGCAGCCAAAGTCATGAAACTTTAGACACATTTAGAACATGTGATCAATGATTTTTTGAGTGAAAAATATTGTCGCCTAGGAGCATTGTTTATTAATAATAGCGAAAAAAGTACTGAAAAATGAAATTTCTGCGCACGCAGCCCAAACGAGCAGCAACCGTCCCAAGTACCGATCGGGTGGGGGTAGCGCGGTCAATTTAAACGTCTCTTGAGAGAGAGCGATGACACGTAATGATTGGAGCTCCCTCGAGCCAGTGGTACCAGCTCCTGGTGAAAAAAAAAACTACCGACGATGTTGTTATGTCCTGGTGAATAACTAAAGTTATTCCCCAGCAACGAGCGCCAAAATTCAAAAAACTGCCGTGGAAATCGCCTCGATCTGGATCCGTCTGCTACCAAAGCCCTGATGGGCACTCCAGCGAAAAAAATTGGGAAAAATAATTGTTGGAGGGAAATTTAAACACTGATTTGAAAAAAAAATTAACACAAAAGTGCTAAGGGAGCACGTAACAATCTATTTATTTCGACTTGACTAACTTCTAACTTGGTATTTTAAAGGAGACAAATTTAGGTGTTCTCGCTGAACGGTAGGGTGTAACTAACTCTAACTTAACTCTAAGTTTTCAGATCTTGGGGCTGAAACCCCTCCCTACTCCTTCGCACAGGATGCGCGCGCAGTTGCTTACTGTTAGGGGTAGAGGTGGAGGTACGTGACGTCACGTCTCTTGGGGGAAGGGACTCATGGGCCCGACATCGACGGACCGGGCAGGGGCCACACGTGTTTGGGATTAACCTTCGCTAGAGCCACTTTATAGCACCTCGGGTTTTTCCCGAAGCAGCTATAAAGTAGAATTTTCGGTCTTCTGGGTAAAAACCCAATAAAATAGATTTTATTTATGACAGTGAAGTGTCGGATTTGAAATAAAATGTGCGCCAGAGGATTTCTCCTTTATGGTTCATTTTCCCAACGACCGTTCTGACCCTCTCCCCGTGTGCCGCCCGGGTTTTTCCCATCGCCCTTTCGAATTTTCCCCCATTTTCTAATTTTCGTAAAAATATACTTTTTTTGCATTTTTTATTTGAATAAACCGCCAAACTACACTAACGCCGCGCCTAGGAACTTAGTCGCGACGTCACAATGTTGTGATGTCTTGACGTTGAAATTTATAGCTGGGGCTATTAATCGGCCATAGCAGTCCGCGAGATTCAAATTATTGTTGGAAAATAATTTAAATAGTTCAGAAAATTAAAAATATACCAGAAATAGAAGAATAAAGAAAGTCTGGAATACACTGAACAAAGAGAACGAAAAACAGCATCGCAAGCGTGAGAAAAACCGTTACGGAAATAGTAAATTCTGCGTTTTTATAAAAAATTGGAGAAAATTATCCAGTTTTCTGAAAACTTTGAAAAAATTCTCCGGTTTGCGTTTGAAAAAAGAATTTTTGATTTTCAATTATCTCTCAATCTACTTT